AAAAAAAAAAAAAAAAAAAAAAAAATTATCCTGTCGATTGGATAATCAATATATTATAATATCCGTAATATTATAATATTTGTAATACTGTAATACCATCATATATTCGCGAGACGCGAATACTTATTTATTTGATGATCAAATAATATTAATTTTCGGTAATTTCCCTTCATTCATATAATGATTTACAGTGTTTTGCGAATTTTCTTAATAGAAATTATATTTCGATTTGTTTTTTTTTTTCGAATGATTAATTATGATAACATTTTATTTAAAATGTACGGAAAATGTACGGAAAGTAACGAAAAAAGATATGAAAACAACGTAAACATATTACGGAGATGAGTTTACATTTTCGTACATTCCGTTTTATGCAATATAATTCAGATTATTCGTATACTTTCCGTAAAATTTCCGTACTTAATCCGTCAACTTTTTGTTCCAAGTCTAGAACGAGGTTCTAGATTTAGATTCTAGACTCTAGATCGAGCATGTATGTTAAAAATCATCTAACTTTGATTGTCTATCGAAATTTTTTTTTTTGATTTTTTTTTTCCATTCATTATTTCTTATTTTGTTTATTTTAATAGTTTTTTAACTTGTTGTACCGATTCTTACATTTTTAAAAGGCCGAAATATGGATAAAAAATGTTGTTACACAGGAAATAAATCGGTTTTTAATATAAATAATAAAATTAACTTAATTGTTTGTTTAACGTTCAGATCATGGGGAAAGAGAAGTTTAAAGTTATACAAACTAAATAAAACAAACATAATAAAAGAGCAGAATCTAGACGGATGCAAAACATGTAATGTATGTTTGCTACCATTATGTTTGTAAGGAATAAATGGGAATGTTGGGGAATGTTAAACCTGTCTCTTATACACATCTAGATGTGTATAAGAGACAGGAAGTAACACCTGACCGTTACCCAATTGTTTTGATTATAAGTAAACAATAATAACTTTATTCATTATATTCATTATACTTTTTTTTTTTTTCTCTTGATATCTTCGAAAATTAGAATTTTTCATTATTCTAAATATGAATAGAACCTTCCATATAACGAAAATTAAAAAGTTATTGTTTTATTGCGTAAGGTATTTGATAAATACACGTGTCTAAAAAAGGTTTTGATATCTCACGTTGCACGACAACTTTTCCTGTTACACTACCGCAAAAAAAGGGACCAAATCGAAACATGTTCTGATCAACAGCACACA